AAACCCTCCTCCAAGGCAATGTAGGGGTGGCCTCTATCCCCTCTCATCTGCACCTTTGAGCTCGGGCAGGCAGGCGTTTGGTGCCACTAAGGTCTCTCCATCGAGGTGGCACAACCGATTAGGTCACCCTTCGTCAACAATCGTTCAGCATGTTCTTAGGAAGAATAAAATTTCCTTTTCAAATAGCGAGTTGAATAAAGAGAGTATATGTGATGCTTGCCAAAAAGGCAAAAGTCACCAACTCCCCTATCCGAATTCCATTAGTGTTTCCAATGCTCCTTTAGATCTAGTTTTTTTAATGTATGGGGGCCAGCCGGAGATTCTATTAATAGAAAGATGCTTTAATCGTAAAATCATCACCATGCAAACAGATTGGGGTGGTGAGTACGAGCGTTTAAACTCCTTTAGGCAAATTGGCATCACTCATCACGTCTCCTGCCCTCACGCACACCAGCAAAATGGGTCGGCCGAAAGGAAACATCGGCATCTTGTGGAAGTCGGACTTTCACTATTAGCACATGCCTCCATGCCCTTAAAATTTTGGGATGAGGCTTTTATAGCTGCCACCTACCTTATCAATAGAACTCCCAGTAAGGTGATAAATCTTGAAACACCTCTCGAACGATTGTTCCAGGAAAAACCAAATTATCATGCTCTCCGCACCTTTGGGTGCGCTTGTTGGCCTAATCTCCGCCCATTCAACTCTAAGAAGCTTGAATTCCGCTCCAAACATTGTGTTTTTCTTGGTTATAGCAATCTCCATAAAGGGTTCAAGTGTTTGGATGTAGCCGCCGGACGGGTTTACATATCTCGTGACGTCGTGTTTGATGAAACCGTGTTTCCTTTTGCCTCACTAAACCCCAATGCCGGTGCTCTCCTTAGGTCAGAAGTTCTTCTTCTTCCTGAAAACTCTGTCACCAATGAGCCTCTTGATCATGGGGATGAAATTAGTGCTAATCCATTGGTTAATTTTCATGCAAATCCTGCTATAAATTTTGGAGGAAATCGTGTTGTGCGTCATGATTTTATGCAGCATCAGCCTGACGTGGAACACGAGGAGGATCCAGGTGCTGGCAGCGACAGTTCTGCAGGCGGCGATCCCGAGCGAAATCTCTCGACCGCCGCGCCTGCAGGTGGGGACAGCACCTCGCCCACACGCGACAGCGACCTGCCCACGCGCAACCGCGACACGTCCACGCCCACGCCTCCGCCCGCTGATGCTGACTGCGGGCCCGCTGGGAGCAGCACCACAGCGCACTCCGGATTAGGCGGGTCCAGGGGCGGTACGGCTGCCCCTCCGAGTCGCCAGGCGGCGGCCTCTGCATCGCGCATCGACGCGGGGGAACGGTGGGCCCTCGACAACATCTCTGGGTCTGCCACGTCTGGCGCTGATCCTGTCGAGATCCGCCTCGGATCGGGCGCGCCTGGCTCTTCTACGGCAGATCCGGTGGGATCTTCTGCGCCAGCTGCGGGATCTTCTGCGCCAACAGTTGCTGCACCCGAACAAACTCGGCGTACACGATCTCAGCATGGTATTGTAACACCCAAAGTACGTACAGATGGTACGGTCAGGTATGGTAAAACTAAGTTTGCTGGTCTTACTACAACAGAAGAACCAAATAATCTACGTGAAGCCTTTGCAAGTAAAAAATGGAAAAATGCAATGGATGAGGAATATGATGCATTAATCAAAAACAAAACTTGGCACTTAGTTCCTCCGGCCAAGGGCAGAAATATTATTGATTGCAAATGGGTTTATAGAGTTAAAAGAAAAGCTACAGGAGAAATAGATAGATACAAAGCCAGGCTAGTTGCAAAAGGCTTTAAACAAAGACATGTCATTGACTACGAGGACACCTTTAGTCCAGTTGTTAAAGCTGCTACTGTCAGACTAGTTCTATCTATTGCAGTATCAAAAGGTTGGAGTCTTCGTCAATTGGATGTGCAGAATGCGTTCCTTCATGGCGTTCTAGAGGAAGAAGTGTATATGAGACAACCTCCTGGGTATGAGGTGAAAAACAAGCAACACTATGTATGTAAGCTTGATAAGTCCTTGTATGGGTTGAAGCAAGCACCTAGAGCGTGGTATTCTAGGTTAAGTGAAAAACTTCAAAGGCTGGGCTTCAGACCATCGAAGGCTGACACTTCATTATTCTTTTATAGCAAAGGCAAGATCACAATCTTTATGCTTGTGTATGTCGATGACATTATTGTGGCTAGCTCTTCACAGGAGGGAACTACAGCATTGTTGGAAGATCTTAGAAGGGATTTTGCCTTAAAAGATCTCGGTGATTTGCATTATTTTTTGGGAATAGAGGTGAAGAGAGTCAAGGATGGTATACTTCTAACTCAAGAAAAATATGTATCAGATGTATTAAAACGTGCTGGTATGATGAATTGCAAAGTGTCAAATATGCCTCTGTCCACATCCGAAAAGCTCTCTAAGGAAAACGGTGAAATCTTGGGAGCTCATGATTCTACAAATTATAGAAGTGTGGTAGGTGCGTTGCAGTACTTGACTTTAACAAGGCCTGATATATCCTTCTCCGTCGATAAAGTATGTCAATTATTGCACTCTCCTACACTTGAACATTGGACTGCAGTAAAAAGAATTCTCAGATATCTCAGAGGAACTATGAGCACTGGACTAAAATTTTCCAAGTCAAGTTCTACATTGGTAAGTGCCTTTTCAGATGCAGATTGGGCAGGATGTCCAGATGACAGAAGGTCCACAGGTGGCTTTGCTGTTTTCTTTGGACCCAACTTGATATCTTGGAGTGCACGCAAACAAGCAACAGTGTCAAGGTCCAGTACTGAGGCAGAATACAAAGCTTTAGCAAATGCCACAGCTGAAATTATATGGACTCTGTTAAAAGAGTTAGGTGTGACACACTCGCCAGTTGCATGTCTTTGGTGTGATAATATTGGTGTCACTTACCTTTCAGCAAACCCAGTATTTCATGCAAGGACAAAACATATCGAAGTTGACTATCACTTCGTGAGAGAAAGAGTAGCCAAGAAGCTATTGGACATTCGTTTCATTCCCACCAATGATCAAGTTGCACATGGCTTTACCAAAGCCTTATCATGGCGTAAACTGGAAGATTTCAAGAGCAATCTCAACTTGGTAAGTTATGATTGAGGGGGAGTCTTAGACAATGTAAATGTGTACGTGGTGGTGTTGTATAAACCACGTAGACGTATAGTTGTGTTGCGTGAGTTGTACTCTAGGTAGTTTAGGTTAGTTGGGATTGATCTCTATCTTGTATAGATCTTAGCGTGAGGATCATTCCACCAACAACCTGAGCTACCGCCCTTGTACCAACGCTCTATAAATAACACGCAACGCGTCCCAGCGAAAGCATACGCTTCAACCAATTTTACAGTCGCAGGTATGGATGTATCTAGATGTATTTTAGTTCTAGATACATCTATTTCTATGACAAGTAATTTGGAACGGAGGGAGTAGATTTGTTTGCTGGTGATTTGCAGACTGACACTAACACACAAAAGCAAATGTGAGTCTAGCCCATCGCAGTCTTCCATCAATTTCACCTCTGATCCCCGCCGTTTCTAAAGAAACTTTCTTCCATGTTCTACATTATTGTCTGCTAATCGTTCACGTCAAATTTTTATCTATGTAGCGACCGGAGAAACGAAACGTGTGATGTGTTATATATTATCTCTTCAGACAATCCAACAAGTAGATAATTAAACATTTATTCAGTTAGACTCGCATGAACTTTATAAGTACTTCCTTCGATCCATATTAATTGCCGTTGGTTTGTACAAAGTTACTGGGAGTAAGAATTAGTGTATTTATACTTGGCCTGTAAAAGATTTATATTACTTAAGATGGTGAGTATATAAGTGACATGTCAAACTTGCATAAGCATAGTAAGGGATGCCAGTGGAACTAGCCTAACAAGCACGCATGCACGTCGGACCAGAGAGTTGAAAGGGAGACAAAGTATGCGTCGTTAATTATTGAGTTTGTGTGCTAGCTCATAGACGACCACTCAGACTGGCCTAATAGACACACATATATGTCATCGCATATGCGGCAAGTTGTTGAGCTTATGTCGCCACACACACACACACACACACACACACACACGCACGCACGCACCGTGCGTCCGTAATTATTGGGTCTGTGTGCTAGCCCGTCCACCAACCGTTCAACTTGCATCAAATAAGTAATTAATGATGTTAATTTGTTACGCCACATGCCCGTCACGATCAACCAAACCAAACCTCAAAAAAGAAGTAGAAAACTATGTTATGGTAACAATCCCTTGAGTAAGAAGAGTGACACAGACTTCAAATGACATTGCCGTCAACATAACGTGGAGCATCCAAAAGTGAAAATGCAATCAAAGCATCTTTCATGGTGATTTGCCAACGCCACACTACCAAGGTGGCGCCAAGGAAGCAATTGATCTTGGGACCCAGTTTCTCAAGCGAGGAAATATGAGGTGGAAACCAAGTTATAGTGGAAGCTGATGAAAACAAAGTAAAAGAAATATGTTTCTAAAAATTCTAGAAAATTGTGATATGTTGGAGATGTGATGTTCTACAAACATGTAAAATCTGAAGCTCAAAATCAAATTCATTTGAGAGGTACGAGCCAACCATACCCAGGAAAAGAATAGTTACAAATCATACGACATCACTATTCTTGTGAAATTTATTTTTTTTCCCAAATGAATATGAGTTTGAACTGCAAAAAGAACGGGCATAGTCCACGGCCTAGGCCTCCCTAGTTCAGGCCGTCTTGGTCGAACATCTCCCAGCAGGGTGGCAATCGATATTCACGTCGATAGCGAGGCATCTACGATGACTTCATCAATCTTAAAACTCTACAACTTCAACCCAGTCTTCAATAAACGTTGTATGAGTGTGGTGTGTGTAGTGGTGTGAGTGTGTGCGTCTATGTTCTACGTAATTGGTGTTCTTCAAATAAATAAAAAAACTACCCAAACTTGAGTCGCTCAACTTTCATGTTAGGTTGTGTTACTATATATACGGGTTATGGGTATCAGAGGAGGCCGTGCGTCCAAAGCAGTTTAGCTATGACACCGCTACAAACCTTGCTCCTCCTACTTGTCTTCTATGCCGCGCTCCTCACCACGGCCGTCTCCGGCGCGCCGTCTGTGCCACCAGCGCCGGTGCCGCCCGACGCAAAAAACTGTCCTGGCAAATGCGGGGAAATAGACATCCCCTACCCATTCGGCATCGGCCCCGGGTGCTCCCTGTCGGGCCGGTTCGCCCTCACGTGCAACGAGACGACGAGTCCACCCACCCTGCTCCGGCGCGACATCAAGGTCGCCAACATCACGCTGGAGACGGCGCAGATGGTGGTCTACACCCACCTGACCTATAGCTGTGACCAGCCGGGCAGCAAGAACACGAGCACGAGGGTGAGTGCGGTGCTCCGCGTTCGCAACCCGTTCCTGATCTCGGCGTCGGCCAACGTGTTCACGGCCATCGGGTGCAGGTCGGCGGCCAGGCTCAGGAGCCGCAGCGTCAGCGACTACCTCACCGGCTGCATCACGACGTGCCTGAGGGTGAACGACACCGGGGACGACGGCACGCCCTGCAGCGGACACGGCTGCTGCGAGACCTCGCTGATTTCCCGCCTCAACCAGGTCAACGTCAGCTGGAGCACGCGCGCGCTGGGCACCAACCCTGTGCCTGAAAGCCCGTGCCAGTACGCCTTCGTCTCCACCAAAGGCTGGTACGTGCGTGCGTCAAGAAATTGCTTTTCTTTTTCCCTTTTCAAAATCACTGTACTCCCTCCATCTCATAATTCTCCCTCCATCCTAAAATATAAGTTGTTATTACATCCAATATACTCACATATTCGATCTAATAACATCTTATATATATTATGGAACGAAGAGAGTAGTTTGTACTGCGTGGCTGATTCATGGATGTGTGAAATTCAAAAATATGTCTTTCCTTACCAATTGACTTGCACGTGAACGTTATTGAATCATTAACAAAAGGAACTGTGAAGAGGCCCTTTTTAATTGAACTAGTCGAGACATTAACGACAGACACAACCAAATTATTAAAAAAGAAGGAAGAAGAATCAGAAATGAGAAAAAAAAAAGCCGATGCAGCCAAGGACACGCAACAATAAGCAGTAACACCAACCATCGTTCTTTTTTTTCCTGCGGGGTGAAAGAAATCTCCATTAAGCTCACGGGGGCTTTTTAGCCGCAGTCAGGTTTACAACAAAGTCCATACCAGCAGCAAGCCATACCGGTATGGACTTTGTTGACATGACAACACACAAACTACGGAAAAAGTTCTTTGAAAGTCATGTCTTCAAGAAGGTAGCGACGCGCGAGGACAACCATCGAAGATATAACAAAAGACATTACAAATTTCATTCGACTAGGCAATTTTGATGATTGATTGTAGGGTTTTACCCTCTCCAAAGGGAGGGATCTGTTAGAAATCCTCAGTTACCTATAAGGACCAAATAGAATGGGTTTAGAAATAGTTTTCAGCTAGCAATAGACGGGCCCAACTATAATCTCACTAGATGTGTCATGTCCCAAGTGAAAGCATGCCTTCTGCCCAGTTCTTCGTATAACCAGCTGTCTCCATGCCGCCTCCCTCTATCAGCAAGGCCGGACTAATTAGACCATCGAGCAACTGAGATATCTCATGTACAGTGCTAGAGGCAGGGGGCATCAAGGCCAGGGCCCACCCCAACAATCTGGTTTTGCTTGCGAACCGTGAATTTTTTTACAAATTCACTAGTCAAGGAGTACTTTTTGCAAAAATCACTCTTCCAGACAAATATTGCACTGCGTGTGCGCCACTTATTACAAGTTTACAACCTGAGAGTTTTTTTTTGTAGATTCGTTTATTCAAAATGTTTCATTTCTCAAACCGTGCGTCCAAATCTCGAATCTTTTTCACCGTCGGATTTCTCACGTCGAGATCTTCAAAATTATAACTCATGTTGATAGGTTTCGACGATCTATTTTTCATGAACAAATCCGGATAAAAAAAGAAACTGGGAGCACTTTTTTTCTTTTTCCAAAAGGCACGACAGTGCCCCTCGCAGAAGCAAATCCATGCCTCTGCGAGAAATAAATTTGTACCTCTCGTGGAAGGAAACAAAAAAGAAAACACATTTTTTTCCTTTCCGAGAGGAACGACCGTGCGTCTTACAGAAACAAATCCGTGCCTCCACGAGAAGTAAATTCATGCCTCTCGCAAAAGGAAAAAAAGATAACACATTTTTTCCTTTTCCAAGAGACACGGCCGTGCCTCTCACGGAAGCAAATCCATGCCTCTCATGGTAGGAAAAAATGAAAATGCGTTTTTTTTCTTTTGCAAGCTATCGTGGAAGAAAAAAAACGTGTTTTTCCCTTTTGCGAGAGGCATGACCATGCCTCTCACATAAACAAACATGTGCCTCCACAGAAGTTAATCTGTGCGCCTCTTGAGGAAGGGGAAAAATATAATGCATTTTTTCACGTCAATTTTTTTAAAGAAAATTTTGTTGGTCCAAAACCTAAGAAAAACCGGAGGGAACCGAAAAGCCAAAAAATCAAGAAAATCGTCTAAAAGCCAAAAACGCGTACAAAAAATATTAGAGAGAGCATGCAGAGCGCGACACGTGGCGGCAGCTGAGAGTGCGCCAAGTGGCGCGCCCCCAGCCCACCCAAGTGACCCTTGCTGGGGCTCCTGAAGGAGTACTCCTTAATTAGTTGCTCCCCACTTTTTACCCCCCACCATAATGGAATAACCTAAGATGATCCTTTTTGTATATGCATGCATCTCCTTTTTGTATATGCTAAAAGGAGATGCATGCATATACAGAAAGTGTTTTCCAATGGAATAATTTGTCATATACAAAAAGGAGATGCATGCATATAGGAATCTTTGCATCTCATATTCATATCAACGTCATTATTTCTAAATCCAAGATTTTAAAATAATTTAAATCTAAAACCATCAAACCCATTTGTCTTCATTTGAGTTTGATTTCTACAAGGGCTTCAAAGAAATTTCGCTATCTTGCCTTCCAATGATTTTTTCCTCCACCAGTTATCAAGTTATCATGTTGGTAGGAACTCTTATCACTCTAATATTGTAAGGTCGCATGAAATAATTTGAACGTATTTTGGCACTGCAATGTGTTATGCAGTCCCAGAGAGTGGGTATCAGCGTGTAAGAGATTATATTAAACCATAAAAACTACTATCATACTAGTTTACATCAGTGGAGAGTAACATTTCAAAACCTAGTAACTAAGTTACTATGACCTCACTATAACCTAGTAATGAACTGATGAATTGACTATAACTGGGCAATTATTGAGAAGAAAAATCGAAACATTTAACTATATGACCTAGTTTGGAAGATCATGGCGTAGCAAACCAACATTGAAAGCATATCTTGAGCCGGATTATTGGTTGGTGAGATGAAAGATTCTTAATTTTGAGAGAGAGAGAGAGAGAGAGGTGGGGTGGGGTCACACATTTAGAGTTAAGATGCATCGCGACATCATAGTCCGGCCGTCATTCTATAGATGTTACTACCTCCGTCCTGTTTATTAGTCCCCTTCGTATTTTGTGTCAAATTTTGACCATAGATTTTACTAAAAAAATGTTAATGCATGTCACCAAAAATTATATCGTTGTATTCGTATTTGAACATAGTTTCCAATGGTATAATTTTTTCTGACATGCATTGATATTTTGTTACTTAAATCTATGGTCAAAATTTTACACTATATATGAAGGGTACCAATAAAGCAGGAAGGAGGTAGTACAACTCTATTGTTGATATTGTCATGTTGTTAGTTTGGGCTTGTGTATATACAATGCAAGCTGCAACAATCATTACCGGTACTAATGGTTGCATTTGTTGAACAGGTACCATTTCAAAAAAACTGATCTAATTGGGAATATGACATTCATAAATAGACTTGGACATGGCCCCGTCGTTCCTGTTGTCCTTGACTGGGCAATACGGGATGGAACATGCCCGTCGGCGCCAGAGGGTGACAACAGTGAGAATGTTCCCTACGCATGTGTTAGCGCCCAGAGCTATTGCGTAAATGCCAGCAATGGAGCACGCGGCTATTTCTGCAGATGTTCTAAGGGATACAGTGGCAACCCATACATTAAAAATGGATGCACAAGTTTGTACACTTTCTGTGTTAATTTTTCCAAGGAAACTTCATTTATCCATATGTTACCCTTAATATATATTGTGCATTTCTTGCAAAAAAAGTAGTAATTTACAATCTTGTAGATTATAATGCACGCTACGGATATGAAGGCATACTTTCTACTTTCTACCACATGATTTGGGATTGTGTGAATTTTCCGCTCTCTCATTAATTTCAAGAGCAGAAAACTTAAGAAAAAAAACTAGTAATTGTTGTCCTTGTTTTCATATTAAGTAAACTGATAATATGCACTATTTTTTAATATATCTTCAGATATTAACGAGTGTGAGCTACGGAGATCCCCAAACTCAACAATTTACAAGAACATGTATCCTTGTCATGGAGGGAGATGCCACGATAGAGAAGGTGACTATGAGTGTAAATGCAATTTCGGACGAAGAGGTGATGGTAAAAGCCAGAAGGGTTGTGAACTTGTAGTGTCCACGACTGCTGTAGCGGTGATAGGTGAGGCTCTCTTTAATTTGAAAATTTAAAAAGTGCATTTACAAGTGTTAAAATATCATAAACAAATCCCATGGTGTGGATCTGAGAATAAAGTAGGAGTGAGCAAAATTTAAATAATCTTTTGCGAGCTGCATAGAAAGAAACAAAATGTATGTGATGATAATAGTGATGTTATGTATTGCTAAATTTTTATCATTATATTTGTCATTGTTGTGCGGGACAACTTTAAAGTTTTTTTCCCATTAAACCTAGCAAAGCTATTTCCGATTTGTCATGAAACATATTTTTTTTGTTAAAGAGGTCACTACACTTGGTAGCTCAAGCATACACACTCACTTATATATGGCCTATGTATTTTCTTAACCCGCGTGTTGCCGTAAAATTGGATATATAGTTTCTAAATATCATGTGGAATAGTACTTTAATTCTTACGATTTAAACTATGTGAGAAATGTCTGCATAAAAATCTAAGCACTGAAAGTTTTGCATGCCACAATTAAATGCAATGTGATTTAAAACCCACTTAGAATGCACTAATATTAATGTATGTTACATGATAGAGAATTGTCATGTGTAGCTCGGTCGAATACTAGTGGATCAAATTAGTATATCTAACAGTTATAGTAATTTTCACCGTAACATAAGAAGATAAGATACTCTCATGCATGCAATTGAACATCCCAATCAATAACATAAAGTGCTATTTTCACCGTAAAACACATATTCCTTTTTTTGTGAAAACATATTCCCGTTTTACTCCACTCGAACATTTAATTATAACAAGGGGTGTCTATAGCTATATATATTGAGTATCAGTAGTCATCCGATTAAGATCTTTTTTTAATACTTGCACATATCTCATGTGTTGGATCCGTGTGCTCCCAACGTTGACTTGGCATAGTTAGTTTTTAGTCGAGTAATAAATAGAAATACTATTACTACATATATATCATCACTATGTAATAAATGGAAAATCACATGAGATTTGTCCGCCTGCAGGAACAATTGGTGCCATTGCATTACTCGCCGTGCTACTGATATTCTTACATATGGAGAACGAGAAAAGAAAACTGAGAGATTGTTTCAACAAAAACGGCGGACAATTACTCAAAAGCCTCAAGGTCGAGATCTTCACAAAGGAAAAGCTAGACCACATCACAAATAACTATCGTTGCATAATCGGCCAAGGCGCCTTCGGCAAGGTCTACAAGGGAGCCACGGGTGCCAGAGACAATGTACGGGTTGCCGTGAAATGCTCGATCCCCATCAACCAGGACTGGAAGAAGGAGTCTTTTGCGAATGAGATCACAATCCAGTCCAATATCAGCCACCGGAACCTGGTCCAACTGTTGGGTTGCTGCCTGGAGACGGAGGTGCCCATGCTGGTCTACGAGTACGTGCCCAGGGGGAGCCTCCACGACGTACTCCACGTTGACAATAAGGAACCTCTCCCGCTGGAAACACGCTTGGATATCGCTATCTATTCAGCAGTTGCGCTCGTTTACATGCACTCGGAGGCGAGTCAGACATCAATCATCCTCCACGGAGATGTGAAGTCGGGCAACATCCTCCTGGACGACGGGTTCACGCCCAAGGTGTCGGACTTCGGGACGTCGAGGCTCATGTCCATCGACAAGGACCACACCAACTGGGTGGTCGGGGACAGCAGCTACATCGACCCCGTGTACATGAAGACCGGGCTGCTCACCGAGAAAAGTGACGTGTACAGCTTCGGCATCGTACTACTGGAGCTCCTGACCCGGAAAAAAGCAAGGTATGACGGGAACCATAGCCTGCCACTGGATTATGTCAAGGCTTCCATGGGTGGGGCGGTGAGGGAGATGTTTGATCCAGAGGTTGCGTCTGGTGGGAAGGAAAATGAGGAGTGCCTCGAGGAGGTGGGCAAGATCGCGGTGCAATGTCTCAAGGAGGATGTGAACGACAGGCCCACCATGAGTGAAGTGGCTGAGAGACTTAAAATATGTAAGTGCCGGTGGTTGGAGCATGACAGGAAGACGAATGAGATCTGCACTTAGTTACTGTCAGGAAAAAAAGTACTACTCCTATCTTTTAAGTTTTTTTTACAGTTGACTTGTACTTTGAGTAATTAGCTAGTATGCTCGCGTGTATCCCCGAGTTGAACTTTGTTTCGTGTAGTTGTGTATAATTATTTTTTCTTTTTCTAGATGTGGTACAGTTTTAATCAACTAATGCATTATAATAGTATCTTGCTAGCGGAAAAAAATTATCTTACTGACATTCCAAGTCTTGTCTTATGAAAGTTTAAATGGTCTTAATTAAGCTGGTCAAGTACATCGGGTTCAAAAATGTTGAAGTTTTGATCCAAATTCGTTCCCCTTGCATATATGGACCCTAATCTGAATTTTCACGGAAATT